ATCCCCGAACAAAACAGATGCAAATCTCATTGTATCTATTCAGTTCTGAGTCTGGATAGCGGAGTTTGCAGAGTGAGAAAATCCCACCCAACCCCCGCCACTCTCCCGCCCCATATCTCAATGTATCCAGTGCCTGCATTTTGCAAAACAAGTAGCAAGGGAGAGATTGGTCCCGAGATGTCTCTGAATCTGTCCAGTTCCTTAGTTCAGAGAGCGAGAGCTGGGATACCAGGGAACGCCTTCAATGGCCTGGGACCGGGCTGACACCAGCTCTCACCTACACTTCTGTCACCTGCAGGGGCCTCTCCCTTGTTAGAGTCAGAGAGTCGGTGAGGAGAGGTTAGCCCTGAGCGGAGCCCTCTTCACGGTGGGTAAGCAGGTGGGGTGTGAGGGGCAGAAAAGGGAGTCAGATCCTTACCAGGGGCTCAGCTCTGGGTTACACCGCATCTGTGTTCCTCTCAATGAGGTCAGGGTCACCTTCTCCCCGTCTCCAGGCCAGCTGGCCCCGGGCTCCAGGCCCCCGCCTCAAGTCTACGTGGACCTCATCCACAGCTACAACTCCCCGGGCGAGTACTCCTCCTGCTTCACAGAGCTGCAGCGGGACTTCGTCATCACTCGCCCCACCAAGCTCAAGAGTCTGATCCGACTGGTGAAACACTGGTACCGGCAGGTTCGGCACACGGACGCCCCCACTCCCCTCCCCGTGGCCCTGGGCTCTGCCCCTGGAGCGCTTTCCTGGGAGGAGGCAGGCCCAGCCCTTGCTGGAACCCTGGGTCGGTGGAGGTTTTTCCTGGCGGCGGGGCCTCAGTTTTCTTACCTGTACAATGGGTCTGGCATTCCTCTATCACAGGAGTTGATGGAACAGTGCAAGGCAAGGCATCTGGCATAGCAGGGGCTCCGTAAATGTTTGGGGAGGGTTTGCCAGCTCCTGTTCACTGCTGTATAGACTGACGCATCGTCTTCCTCCTCATTTCTTAGTGCCAGAAGATGCCCAAGGGGAAGGGCTCTCTGCCCCCCCAGCACGGGCTGGAACTCCTGACGGTGTATGCCTGGGAGCAGGGTGGGCGGGACCCCCAGTTCAGCATGGCCGAGGGCTTTCGCACTGTCCTGGAGCTGGTCACCCAGTACCGCCAGCTCTGCGTCTACTGGACCGTCAACTACAGCCGTGAGGACCAGACGGTCAGAGACTTCCTGGAGCAGCAGCTTCGCAAGCCCAGGTTCGAACCCACCCCCATGGCCCAGAGTCCGGGACCCAAGGGCGCAGAGCAGAGGCGGGAACCCGCTTTCTAGGACTGAGCTCCTTCCCAGCTCTCCACGTGGGGAGACTCGGGGCTGCGGGTGAAATGCCAGACCCCACGTTAAATTTGAATTTCGGATAAACAATGAAGAACTTTTTAGTGTCAGAATCGCCCAGGTCGTCATTGGGATATACTTATGCTTAAGAAAACCAACACCCTTGCCTCACAGAGCGGCTCAGTGGTTGAGCGTTGACCTATGAACCAAGAGGTTACGGTTCGATTCCCAGTTAGGGCACATGCCCGGGTTGAGGGCTCGATCCCCAATGTGGGGGGTGCAGCAGGCAGCCGATCGATGATTCTCTCGCATCCTTGATGTTTTGATTTCTCTCTCCCTCTCCCTCTCCCTGCCTCTCTGAGATCAATAAAAACATATTTAAAATTTTTATAGAACAAACAAACAAAAAACACACACCTGTATTCATTGTTTATCTGGAGCTCAAATTTAACTGGGCATCTTCTATGTGTGTTTGCTAAATCTGGCCACCCTGCCTGCGAACCCCCAGGTAACATACGCTGCCCCCTTCTGTGGGATTTTGCCCGCCTCTGCAATGCTACAGAGATAGCAAAGACGCTTTCACAACTTGGTGATGTATTTCCAGTCAGTGGGTAATGGCTACGTAGAGTGATGTGTTGATAAAGACCCTGAGGTTGTGAAGGGGCTCCACTGAAAAGGGTAATCTCATCAGTTAGTGGCCATGGATGGGGGAGAGTGATGGAGCCAGTGCTGTGGTTGAGTAACAATGCCTGCTTTCCATGCAGGTGGGGCAAGCATGGCCTGAGCTCTGTGATTGATTAGTAATGTCTGTCCTGGATACAGAAGGCAGAAGGGGCTCGTGTGTAGCGTCTTCTCCAATCTGCCCCCAAGTGTGTGCCTAGAGCCCAGAGGAGGCTCTGGGCCCTGCCCCTGCCCTCTGCAAAGTGTTGGGTGAGGGGGAGAATACTTCAAGCAATCCCGCAGGTCGATACCCAGATGTTGCCAGGAAGAGGACTGACCTGGGGATTGGGAATTGCAGGCCCATCATCCTGGATCCGGCAGACCCGACAGGCAACCTGGGCCCCAATGCCCGCTGGGACCTGCTGGCCAAGGAAGCTGCAGCCTGCATGTCCTCCCTGTGCTGCATAGGCAAAGATGGCACCCCCATCCAGCCGTGGCCAGTGAGGGTGAGAGACCTGGGGTACAGCAGGGAGCATTTTTATTGGGGGGCAGTGTGGTTGGGGGAGGGGCATGATTCCCCCCAACGGGGCAGGGCCCAGTCATGGCCCAGACGTGCCCCCGTGCCTCCATGTCCTGTCTGTTCCCATTGTCACATACTCAGCTTCTCTAGGAAGGTTAGAGGTAACCACATATTCTGTCATCTTTCCCAGGCCGCTGTGTGAAGCCCAGAAAATCAGTGGTCCTGCCAGATGGACAGATGGACACCAGCCCTCCACGTGGGGAGACTCAGGGTCACATGCCAGATGTGTGTGTGTGTGTGTGTCTGTGTGCGTGCACGTGTATTGAGAGATAGAGAGAGAGATTGATTCAGTCCAGCCTCCCAACGGACATCCTTGCCTCCCACTCAGTTCTCTCTTCCCCGCAGCCCACTCTGTTCACCCAGCCCCATTGAATCCCCCCTTGTATCCAATGGGCACTGCACTCAAACACTGCCCTGCCTCCTGCGGCCTACATGCTGGAGTCCAGCCTGCATGGGTGGGCACCTTCCTGGGTTTCCAGCTTCCTCATCACTCTCGTGACCCTCTGGTCTCAGCTGCATCTTCCCCTGCCTAGAATGTCCTCCTCCTCCTCCCCGACTTCTCTCTCCCCATCCACACCAGCTCACATCCGTCCTCCTGACACTCATCTCTGACCTCCCAGTGGCTGCTCCTCCTTCCCTAATCTAAGAACTTTTCACAGGGATGGTAGCGTTTTCATCTCATTTGTCAGCCACACTCAGTTGGTTGTGGCTGTCCGGAGCCCTATGTGTTAAAGGATTTGAAGAATGGATGCCTAGCCGCGAGGAGTGACCTAATCAATTAGTGATGTCTGCCATGGATGCGCTAGAGAAAAGTAGTGGCACGAGTGCCGTGATTGATTAGTAATGTCTGGCCTGCGTTACAGGACGAAGTGTTCAGAGACCTACAGTCTGTACGTGTTTGGGCTATTGAGAAGCTTTCTGAGCTCAGCTGCTAGCAGGACCGCATGCCGGGATCGGCTGCTTATGTCTGCCACAGACACAGACAGAGGGAGTGGGACATGCGTGCCATGCGGTCCCTGTCCTTGGACACTTCACCGGATGCCTTTTCACTGAAGGCCTCCTTTTGGTCCCGTTTCGCTCCTCCCCCCAGTTTGCACATCTTAATGCTATGCCATACTTCCTTTCTGGTTTTTTACCAAGTTCCTGTCTTTTTTCTGCCCTGCTACATGCCACCAGTGGGTCCTCCATCCCCAGAGCCTACATATGAGCCAGTGCCCTAGTGACAGTGCCAGCTGCCTCTGCCTCCAGAGCAAACCCACCCGGCGCATGCAGGGGGCACGCCTACCTCCAGTGCAGTCACAGTGTCCCTCTCAGTCCAGGACCAGCTCGGACAACAGAAAGCACTCCGGAACCGGAAGGGGAAAGGGATTCCGTCCCACCCTGGACCAGCAGAAGGAGGCTGGGGACCCTGATGCTAGTTTCCTTATTGGACCCCCACGCCTGGATCAGAGGAAGCTGCTGCTCTCTGCCCACCGCCTCCCCCACAAAGCTGGGGTCCGGACCAGGGACATGGACTCCCACAGCCACACACATCCCCCAGGACTGGGCCACCAGGGCTGCAGGGGGAGCTTCTGTGTCTCTCCTTTAAAATAAAGAAAATTACGGCCAGGATCTGGCTACAGGGCGTCTGAGAAGTGAGCATCTGGCCTCCCACCCCGGGCAGCACAGGGAAGAGTGGAGGCCCAGGGCCGGGGCCAGTGTCTGGGACTGTATTCCCGGCACAGGCACCAGGAATGTCTATCGAGTGGGTGAGGGCGTGGTCCCTCCCAGAGGAGCAGCCCGGGAGGCGGAGGGAAGCAGCCCGGTTCTTAGGGGACACAGATGGAAGGATTTCAGAGGGAAGGGTCTGGTGATTATGGTGTGTCCACGGAGAGTCATCGGTTGTAACAAATGCCCCACCTTGGTCGGGAGGCTGTGCATGTGTGGGGGCAGGGAGTACATAGGACATCGCTGGGCCTTCTGCCCAATTTTGCTGTGAACCTAAATCTCAAAAAACCAAAGATTTTAAACAAAAAAGAGCAGACTCGGCGGCCGGCCGTGAGCAGATCGACTTCTCTCGTTCGCGCACCTCGCTCGGCTTCCTCTGCGACCACGTCTGACAAACCCGATACGGCTGCGATTGAGAAACTCGCTAAGTCGAAACGGAAGAGGACAGAAACGCAAGAGAAAAATCCACTGCCTTCAAAAGAAACGATCGAACAGGAGAAGCAAGCAGGCGAGTCGTAATGAGGCACACGCTGCCAGTATGCACCATACATTCCACAAGCATTGCCTTCATGTTTTACTTCTTGTAGCTGTTTAACTTTGTAAGATGCAAAGAGGTGGGATCGGTGTAAGTGGCTGTGCTGCCCCTTTTCAGAACTACTGACAACAGCCGAAACCGGTTTGGCTCAGTGGCTAGAGCGTCGGCCTGCGGACTGAAAGGTCCCAGGCTCAATTCCGGTCAAAGGCATGTACCTGGGCTGTGGGCACATCCCCAGTAGGAGGTGTACAGGAGGCAGCTGATCCATGTTTCTCTCCCCTCTCCCTTCACTGACAACGAAGGCTGCGCCGGCCGCTCCATCTGCCTGGCCGGCTGGCGGGGAAGGGGGACAGCTTGCATGTTGGTGAAGGAGTGCGGACTGTAAAAGGCAGTGTAATCAGAGTGCCATTTTTTTTTGTTCAAATGATTTTAATTATTGGAATGCACAATTTTTTAAATATGCAAATAAAAAGTTTTAAAACCTGAAAAAAAAAAGCAAAGGGGCATAATATCTGCAACATGCTCTCAAATGACTCCGTAATGAGACTACTGATAAGACGTGCATACAGAATAAGGACAAATGTGAACTCTTCCGGGTGAGGGTAGGAGAGGGAGTTCTTTGTACTCACCTCACACATTTTCTCCGTATTTCAAATTATTCCAGAATCAAATCTTTAAACAATAAAAAAAGGCGTGAACTTTGGAATCAGGTGGTGTGGGGTTAGAGCCCCGCCAGACAATGTACTCGCTGTGTGACCTTGGGCAAGTGTTTCCACCTCTCTGTGCCTCCACATTTTTACCTAAAAAGGGAGCCTTATGACCCCTGCCCAGCTGACCTCTAAGTGTTACAATGAAAGTCAGATGAGGGCAAGAAAGGACCTTGAATGGACAGGTGTAATAGTCAAAGTTCTACAAGAAAAAAAAAAACCAATAGGATAGATAGAGGTAGATCTAGAGATTTCTTTTAAGGAACTGGCTTGTGCTGCTGTGGAAGTTGGCAGGTCCAAATTCTGCAAGGCAGGCTGGCAGGAGGGAGACCCAGGGAGGAGCTGAGGCAGCTCCAGGCTGAAGGCATCTGCTGGTGGGATCCCCCCCACTTCCTCCAGAGAAGTCAGTCTTTTTTACATACAGGCCCTCAACTGATTAGATGAGGCCCACGCACATGAGTGTAGTCGCTTTATTCGAAGTCCACTGGTCTAAATGTCAGTCTCATCTTCAAAGTACCTTCCCAGAAAGATCTAGAACAATGTTTGAACAATTATTTGGGTACCTTGGCCCAGCCAAGTTGACGTATGAAATGAATCCTCATGGCAGAGAGGGACTGCCATGGGGGTGAAGAACCCATACCTTGGGGATGTTTGCTTCTGAGGCAGCCACTCGAGGCCTCTGGGAGTTTCGTTTTCATAGCTCCGGGCGGGAGTTGCACATCTGTCTCCCCTCCGACCTGTGTGCTTCTCTGAGCTTGTTTCCGCCTTACTGGGTGGGGGAAATGGCTGATGAGGCCGTGCGGGTTTCCACGGATGCTGCGGAACTGGGCCCACGGATGCTCCCACCCACCAAGCACGCTGAGCCCAGCTCAGCCCTCGTCTCGCTGTGCGTCCCTGAGCAAGTCCGTCACCTCTGAGTCTCTCTCCTTGCCGTTCTCACGGAGTCTGACTTCTCAGGTCCCTGGGAACAGGAAGAAGGAGAAAGGGGCTTCAAGGAAGAACTCTGCCACTAAAAAATTGTATTTGCTTAGCAAACACTTCTATAGCAGTGGCGACCTGCCCGGCCCTGTGCTAAGCGCTTGGCAGGTACTATTTTATTCCTGCATTCGCCCAATAAGAGAGACGCCACTGCTGTCCCCATTTTACAAAGTGGGGAGTCGAGGCTCAAAGAGGCAGGAGGCGTGCTCAAGGGCAGGGGTCTGGCACGCATCCAGCTCCAGCAGCTGTGCATTTCTCCAGGAGGACGCCTCCCGGGGGCCCCTGAGAGGCAGGTTGAGCTGAGGGGCGGGCAGAGCTCTGGATTGAGGAAGTCAGCTAAGAATGCTGGTCAGTTTCGGTTTCCTGGCTCTTTCCAGCTTCCAAGCTCTCAGCCCAGAGATCCTCTCCCTCCTCTGTCTCCTGCTCTGCCGTGAGCTGTCGCCCCGGCAGGCAGCCAGCAGCAGCAATGAGCAACTGGCTATCCGCAGCAATGGGCAACTGGCTACCCTGGCTATCCGGCGCCTGCCCATCAACGGTGTACTCGGTACCTGTTCAGAAACTGGATGAGTATATCCAGACCTCACTGAGGCCGACTGCAGACTGTCAGAGACAGATCGATGAGGCCGTGGACACCATCTGTGCCGCCCTGCAGGAAGCCACGGAGCCTCCCACGGTGACAGATGTCGCCAAAGTGAGTGGAGGGCCGGGGGTCGGGGCTCCTGGTTATCAGAAATCAGAGTGACTTGGTGCTGAGCACCTATTGTGTGCCAGGCCCTGGGGGCACCATCCATCATCCTGTCCGCCCCACCCTCGGAGAGAGGATGGGATATAGTTTAGAGTTTAGGAGCACAGACTCTGAAGTCCGCTCTGCCCCTTGTTACTGTGTGACCCGGGTAAGTTGCTTAACCTCTCTGTGCTTCAGTCTCCGAATCTATAAAATGGGAGAGGACTAATACCCATCTGAAAGTGTTGTGAGGCTTGAGCATATAACGTTCTTAGTACAAGGCCTGGTACATGGTTCGTGTTCAGTAAATTAGCTGTGATTACTCCCTGCTATTGTTCTAGCCTTTTTATTTACAGAGCAATAAACTGAGGCTAAAGGACTTCGGTGAAACTACCCAAAAGTTGCTCGGTGGTGGCATTTCCAGCAAGTGGGGGCTGGGAGCTCTCGTCAGTTAGAAATGGTTGGTGCTATGGGCACAAACCCCAGGATTGAGGCTAAAGATCCTGGGCCTTCGGGGAGGAAAGGATGCTGGGAAGGTGCCAGGACCCTAGGGTAGGGAGCGGGGTGGAGAGCCCCACTCCCACCGCCATGCTCTCCGGCGCTGGAGACTCGCTTCTCTGCAGCCGCAGTGCTACCTCTGCCGTCACACCCACCCACTAGCCCCAGCAGGAAAGACACTTGGATACTGGTGTCTCCTGCCTTGGCCCAGAGGAGGAAACTGAGGCACAGGGGAGTTATTCAATAGCTGGGAGTTATTTAATAGCACCATCCTGCCTCTCGATATTAATTAACTTATTCTAATTAAAATAAACGTACAAAAAGATAAACGCACAGAGCTAAGTATGCAGCCTGTTTGGATTGCCACGAACAACGGAGATGTGTAACCTACACCCGGCTCGAGAAGCAAAACATTCCCAGCCCCACCCTGGCCGGCTTGGCTGAGCGGATAGAGCGCCAGCCTGCGGATTGAAGGGTCCCGGGTTCGATTCCGGCCAGGGGCACATGCCTGGGTGGTGGGCTTGGTCCCCAGTGCGGGGCCTGCAGGAGGCAGCCGATCAATGATTCTCTCTCATCATTGATGTTTCTCTCTCTCCTTCTCCCTTCCTCTCTGAAATCAATAAAGAAATATATTTAAAAAATAAATAAATAAACATTCCAGCCCCCGAGGGCCCCTGCACTCCCTGTCCTGTCAGCGTCCTCACCCAGGGCAGCGCCCTCCTGCCTCCTGACGGCAGAAATCATTTTGCCAAGTTTTTAACTTCGTCTACATGTAAGGTGGCCGCTTCCCACTTTGCCTGGGGCCGAGGGGTTTTCTGGGACGTGGGTCTTTCGACGCTAACACTGGGTACACCGGACCCGTTGGTCACCCTGGATAAACGAGTCCACGCCCTGTGTGGCTTTTATGTATGGTCTCTTTGACCCACCCTGTTCAGGAAATGTCTGTCGTGTGGGCAGGTGATGTTTGTCATTTCACTGCTGTCCAGTATTCCACTGCTGCATTTATCCACATGCGTTTCCTCCAGGTTGGGGCTAGTATAAAGAGTATTGCTATGGGCGCCCTGGTCTTTGGGGGGACCCATGGACGCCTGCATCTCAACTTTAAGACTATGGTGACATTTGGGGCGTTTTCTCAAGTTAAGTAAGACTACTGCCTCCTGGGGAGTGCCGTGACCCCCAAAGGGCCCAGACTCTCACACCTGCTTCTCTGTTGCTGGCAGGGTGGCTCCTATGGCCGGAAAACAGTCTTAAAGGGCAACTCCGATGGTACCCTTGTCATCTTCATCAGTGACTTTGAAAAATTCCAGGATCAGAAGGAAAAGCAATATGAAATCCTCGACAAAATCTGGGAGCGGCTGAGAGCTGGTCAGCTCGAAAGGAAGCTGACAGCCAAGATGGAGATGCAGAGGTCCTATGTTGGCCTCACCATCCGGCTGTCCACACGATGGCAGAGCGTCACTTTTGACGTGCTGCCCGCCTTCGATGCTCTGGGTGAGCCCTCCGGGGTATGTGGGGGTGGGGGTGGGTCGTGAGGGGTGTGTTGAGAGAGCAAAGTCAAAGAGAGGGATGGTGGATAGGTACCTTCGGTGCTTTCCGAAGCGGAGGCCTTCAAGAGAGGAAGTCCCTCCTACCCTGGCTTTCTGTCTTCTCTAGGACTTCTCCCCATCTCCTCATTGGCTTTTGTTGTTGTTGTTAATCCTCACCCGAGGATATTTTTCCATTGATTTTTAGGGAGGGTGGTAGGGAAGGGGGAGAGACAGAGAGAAACTTCGATGTGAGAGAAACACATCGATTAGTTGCCTCCTGCACGAGCCCTGACCAGGGCCTGGGCTGGGGAGGAGCCTGCAACCAAGGTACGTGCCCTTGTCCGGAATCAAACCCAGGACCCTTTGGTCTGCAGACCGACGCTCTATCCACTGAGCAAAACCAGTTGGGGCTCCTCACTGACTTTTTTTAAAAATGTATTTATTGTCTAAAGTTTTACATATGTTCATTATATCCCACATATGAGTGAGATCGTGTGATATTTCTTTCTATGACTGGCTTATTTCGCTTAGCATAATGCTCTCCAGTTCCATCCATGCTGTTGCAAATGGTAAAAGTTCCTCCTTTTTTATAGCAGCGTAGTACTCCATTGTGTAGATGTACCACAGTTGTTTAATCCACTCACCTGCCTCATTCACACAGGAGGCTCCTGAGCCTGTGTTCATATTAGCTGTGCAGCAGGATTCCGATTGGCACCCCAGTCTGAGAGCCACTGCCCTGCATTACCTACCTCACAGGCTCAGTGCTGCGGGGAGTGCACCTGCCACCTGGCAGCCATCCCAGCCTCCGGGGCTCTGCCTGCACCTGCCTCCTCAAGGTGCCTGTACACTTGACCCTGAACTGGAGCGCTCACTGGATGGGCTCACTAGCGGGATATACTGTATGTGATATATAAACTTCATTTTCTTCCAGGTGTAGGCCAATACCATCTTTCAAAGAAACCGTCTTTTCCCCACTCATTTGGAACTCCTTCTTTTTTCATTTACAATCGTTTCTCCTTTCCTCTCTTTTCTCTCACTGGTCTTGTCTTCAGCCAGCGCCATAGCATTTGCATGATGGTCCTTTTACACTTCATTTGTCACCGAGCAGGGGCAGCCACCCCGCACCTTTTAAGCAAACAGACCTGGCTTCTGACAGAGGAGGCAGTTTGCTACCAAACCACACCCAAACTTCAAAGTCCTTCTTCTCTTTCCTGCCAGACTTGAGCGGCAAGCCCAGCCCCTCTACCTATCGAGACCTCAAAAGAGCCTTGGACCAGACAAAAGCCAACCCCGGTGAATTCTCCGTCTGCTTCACAAAACTCCAGGAGGATTTTTTTAACAACCACCCCAGGAAGCTGAAGGATTTGATCCTCTTGGTAAAGGCCTGGCATCAACAGGTCAGTTTCATCTCGCATTTCCTCTGGCAGCCATCCACTTCCTTTGGGTCGCAATAACTTGCAGTCCAGTAAAGGACAACAATCTTAGGTATTCAGCTCGATGCGTTTTATATTGTTTTAAGCAAAACTCGGAGTGGACTCAAGCCCACTCCCAGTGAACACTCCCCCAAACAGCCCGCTATCCTAATAGCTGTCACCACAAATTCGTTTTGCTTGCTTTTCAACTTGATATGAATGGAGTCTGTATGTACTGGATATGTATGTAATGGATATGTATGTACGTTGTGTCTGCTGTCTTCTGTTCAACGTTCTGTCTGAGAGATTTGTCCATGTTGGTGCACGTGGTTGTCATTTCTTCATTGTTTTGTAATATTCCATTGTGTTACTATCCACACATTGTGTTACTACCCATTCCTCTCCTGACGGACATTTGGGTCGTTTCCATATTGGGGCTAGTATGAATTATGTGACTATGGGTATTCCCTGCATGTGTTTTTGTAAATTTCAGGCTCCTCTTTAAAATATACATTTTCTTTTATTGATTTCAGAGAGGAGGGGAGAAGGAGAGCTAGAAACATCAATAATAAGAGATAATCATTGATCAGCTGCATCCTGCATGCCCCCTACTGGGGATTGAGCCCACAGCCCGGACTTGTGCCCTGACCAGGAATTGAACCTCTTGGTTCATAGGTCAATGCTCAACCACTGAGCCACATCGGCTGGGCAAGCACTCCTTTTTCTTGAGTAAATATGCAGGCATGGAACTGTTGGGTTATAAAGTATATGTATATGAAAACATATGTGTGTGCGTATACATATACACATGGCATATATGTATGCATGTGTGTGTCCACAATGAGGAATAGGTACATATTTAACTTTAGGAAATACTGCCAAATACAGACGGGCCTTGACTTACAATGGTTTGACTTAAGATTTATTTTTTAAATATGTTTCTATTGATTTTAGAGAGAAAGGAAGGGAGAGGGAGAGAGAGAGAAACACCAATTGGATGCTTCCCGCACACACCCCGCCCAGTGACCGAGCCTGAAACCAGGGTCTGTGCCCTGACCGGAAATTGAACCATGACCGGAAATTGAACCATGACCTCCTGATTCACGGGGTCGATGTTCAACCACTGAGCCACACCGGCCGAGCTGGTTTCTTGATTTCAGAGCCCTGCCATGGGGAGAACTGGGTCTCTAAGTTAGCTGCTGCCCCATTCTTCTCCCGCAGTGCCAGAAACAGTGGGGGGAGCAATCCCTGCCACCCTCATATGCTCTAGAGCTGCTCACCGTCTATGCCTGGGAAGAGGGGTGTAGAGAGGAAGACTTTGACATAGTTCAAGGCCTCAGAACTGTCCTAGAGCTCATCCAGCAGCAGGAGCAGCTATGTGTCTATTGGACAGTCAACTACAACTTTGAGGATGAGACCGTCCGGAACGTTATGCTGAACCAGATCCGATCATCAAGGTACCAACTTCCGTGACCCTTTCTCTTTCCTGTTTCTAGAACTATGAAAAAGCAGGAACATCTGCATGCCAGACTGTGCCCCTTTAGAATGAGCGCTCACCCCTGTCCTTTCCAGCCAGGGGTGTGCCATACAGATGCCAGCAGCACTGGGCAGGGAGTGAGAAGAGGTCTGAGGGAGGAACCCTGACCCATGCTTTCATTCACACTACAAACCATCATCACATTTTGTGCCCCAGACAAACCCTTTACAGAAGGAAGAGGCTAAGAGAGAAGAAAGGTCTGCAGGAACAGGCCATCTTATTACATTACTAGAGGCCTGGTGCACAGATTCGTGCACAGATGGGGTCCCTGGGCCTGGCCAGCGATCAGGGCCAATTGGGGCTGATCAGAGCCAATCAGGACCAGCCAGCTGGAGGAAGAGACTGCGGGAGGTTGCTATTCACGGGAGGTTGGCTGTGGTAGTGCACTAACCACCAGGCGGCAGCTCCTGCATGGAGCGTCTGCCCCCTAGTGGTCAGTGCGGTGTCATACTGACCAGTCGACTGGTTGTAATGGTGGCTTAGGCTTTTATATATATAGATTAATAGAACGCCTCTCTCTGTCAACCAGAGAGCACAGGACCAGAGAGGCTGGACGCAGAGAACCTCAGCAATTGAGAGAAACCACAGGGGTTACCAGAAGCCCAGTCTAGGCCTCTCTCCCTAAAACTGATTTCTCTTCCCGCAAGCAGCCCAACTGATTTTATATATATATATAATCCAATGGAATTCATAGGACAGTCATCTTGGATCCAACTGACCCCACCAATATGATGAGCAACGATGAGAAGTGCTGGCGACTGCTAAAAGTGGAAGCTCAAAACTGGTTACTTTCTCTCAGCCTGAGAGGGTCACCTGGACCATCTTGGAATGTTCTGGTGAGAGGGCGTTCCAAATATAGCTCCTGTCATGCGTCAGGGAGGGCCCTCCTCCTCCCGACACCCAGTCTTCCTTGAGATCACCGTGTGCCGGTATCCTTGGGCTGCTGTAACAAAGCCCGAGCCCTGGGCGGCTTGAAGCAGCAGAGATGTTTGCTGTCACAGTCCTGAGGACTCGAAGTCCAAGCGCAAGGTGTTGGCAGGGCTGCGCTCCCTCTGAAGCCTCTAGAGGAGGATTCTCCCATGCCTCTCCCGGACTCGGTGGTTGCCAGCAATCCTTGGCTTGTGGCAGCATCACTCCCATCTCTGCTCCATGGTCTCATGGCCCTCCCCTCTGTGTCTTCACAAGGTCTTCCCCACCCCCATGCTCTCGGTCTTGGCGCCTCTCTCCTCTTCTTATTAGGACCCAGTGCATATTGGATTAGGGCCCACTCGAATGACCTCATCTAACTCAATTGCCTCTTGCAAAGATCCTATATCCAGAGAAGTTCACATTCATCGATTAGGACTTCAACGTATCTTTTGAGGGGACATAATTCAATCCACAACATGCCATTGGGGGCCTCCCCTTCCGAGCAAATGATGGTAAAGTACAGATTGAACAAAAAACAAAGGTGGGGGGGGCACCTGCAGGTGAGAGATTTGGGTTCATTTCTGCAGGTGGGAGGGTGGTGGCAGATGAAATGGAGCAGAGCCCAAAGGTAGTGGGTGACTCTCTCCCCTGTGGGTCCCGGGACAGGCTCTGAGCACCGTTTGAGCAAGTGTGTGGGACCAGAGTGAGAAGTGGGGCTGGAGACAGGAGGACTATTGGAGGGGCCGGCTTTGAACCCGAGACATTCACTTTGCCCCTTCCATCCCCCAAAGGAGAAGCAAATCTATCGACACAGATTCCCCCTGCGCTCCCAGAGCTTATCAGAGAAAGGCAATCCCAAGAGAACCTTCTCAGGTTGGACTGCTGACCCCGTAAAGCGCTCCTTGGGGTCGTAGGGCAGGGCAAGGGGCACAAACCCATCAGTGAGGCCAGAGAAGTCACCGAAATCCCGCATTTCACAGAACGGGACTCCTTTATGCCCAGATGAGGGGAGGCAGGGTCTGTCTTCTGTCTGCACAGAAACTTGAGGGCCAGTTGAGCAAAGGTCTGGGAAGTAAACGTAGATGTAAATGAACTGAGCCCCAGAGGTGAAGCGACCTGTGAACAGGAAACCCCTAGTTGGATGCAGAAGGACTGGGACCCTCTGAGCGGTCACCCCTCCCCCTTACCTTCACCAGACTCCTGGTCTTTGCTCCCGGCCTCCTAAGACAGCTGTTTAAAACATGTTTCTCCCAACGTTTTATTCTGAAAACTTTCAAATGGATAGAAACATTGCAAAAATGGTCAGCGCACTTCACCCAAATGCCCTCCACGTAGATGCCCTTCACCTAGATGCCCAATGTTCAATGCTGTCCACATTTGGTGGGACAGTTCGTGTGTGTGTGTGTGATTAGTTAAGATGAGGCCACCTAGACTCGCATGCAACCTGACTCCAATAACCAGTGTCCTTATAAGAAGACACACAGAGCCCTGGCCGGTGTGGCTCAGTGGATAGAGTGTCGGCCTGCCAACTGAAGAGACCCAGGTTCGAATCCAGTCAAGGGCACGTACCTTGGTTGCAAGCTCAATCCCTGGCCCTGGTGGGGCACATGGGGCAGGCAACCGATCGATGTGTCTCTCTCACATCAATGTTTCTCTCTCTCTGCCCCCCCGCCCCACGACTCTCTCTAAAAATCAATGGGAAAATATCCAGGGGTGAGGATTAACAACTACAACAAAAAGAAGATACACAGGGGCACAGACACAGAGGGGGGAAGGTCATGTGCACGCAGAGGCAGGGGTGAGAGTGATGCGCGTACCAGGCAAGGGGCACAAGGGTGACTGGTGCCACCAGAAGCTAGAAGAGACCAGGAAGGGCCTCCCTTGGGGGCTTCAGAGGGAGCATGACCCGCCCATGCTTTCACCTTGGATCTCTAGTCTCCGGATTGTGAAAGAATGAACGTCTGTCGCTTTACGCCACACAGTTGTAATTTGTCACGGCAGCCCTGGAAACCAATCCCGGGTCCCCGCGTGTCTAACAGAACCGATAGAACCTGGGAAAAGAAATGAGTATGATCATCAGAAATCTGTCATAGCCACAGGGAATAGGAAAGGAAGGGAGGGCCAGAGGAGGGGGGGTGGGGGCGGAGCTGAAGAGTGCCGGCCATGACTGACGATGCCACAGCTGGAAACAGTGTGGAGACAGGGGCATGAGGGACCCCGGGGGAGAAGGATTCAGTTCTCAACTAGGGGAGAGTATTGTTTATGGGTACCCCCTAAACTCAAATATGTCCCTGGGGTATCCTATATGATAAAAGCCCAATATGCAAATCAATGGAATGGCGGAACGACGGGTTGGTGGGGGGCAGGGCCACTGAGCGGGCGGTACCAGGCAGCCAAGGTGGGTGCCAGCGGGCAGAGGGAGGGGCTGGCCACTCACTCTGCCTGTCGCCTCCCACACAGGGAGGCAAGACTGTGGCTTGGGCCTGCTCCCTGCACTGTCAGTTGGACATCCCCCAAGGGCTCCTGGACTGCAAGAGGGCACAGGCAGGCTGAGGGACCCCCCTCCCACCCTCGAGGGCACGAATTTTCATGCACCGGGCCTCTAGTGTCACTATAAGAAGTAAGGATGACAAAGATCCCTGGGTTGGAGAGCAGGAGGGAGAGATGGGAAGAAAACCTGGGACCCGCTAGCGGGGGGCCACTCACAGCCGGGTTCTTCCGCCCTCCCCCATCCCCCCTCCCCCAGCCAGCACCGCTCCATGAGACCCCAGGCCACCTTCTGGATAAATTCATCAAGGACTTCCTCCAGCCCACGAAAACTGTCAACATTCAGATCAAGACAGCTGTTGACATCATCGCGAAGTTCCTTAAAGAAATCTGCTTTCGGCATTCAGCCACGAAGGTCCAGAAGCCCATCAAGGTGAGCACTGGCCTTTCTCTCCACGGGGATTACTCGCGAGATACTAAGCAGTGGCTGGCGCCATCTCCCAGCAGAGGCAAAGGATGAGGAAGGGCAGCTGGGGAGGGCGGCAACCAGGACGCTGCTGCCCGGGGTCGGGTGGGGGTGGTGCCGAGGGACTGCTTCTGTCATTAACAACATACTTTTGATTCTGCAAGCATCCTGGGGCTGCCGGCACCCGTGGCAGTCCTGGGCTTGTAGCTGCATCACTCAGGTCTCTGCCCCCATCTTCCAGTCACCATCTCCTCGCTCTCTCTTCTCTCTTTTTTTAAATATATTTTATTGATTTTTTACAGAGGAAGGGAGAGGGATAGAGAGTTAGAAGCATCGATGAGAGAGAAACATCGATCAGCTGCCTCCTGCACACCTCCTACTGGGGATGTGCCTGCAACCAAGGTACATGCCCTTGACCAGAATCAAACCTGGGACCCTTCAATCCTCAGGCCGAGGGTCTATCCATTGAGCCAAACTGGTCAGGGCCCTTTCTCTTCTCTTAAGGACACTTGTCATTGGATTTAGGGCCCGCAGATCCTTAATTTAGTTAAATCTACAGAGACCCTTTTTCCAAGTAAGATCGCATTCACGCGTTCCCACAGACTCACCTTTGCAGGGCCACCATTCAGACCACGGAAGACTGTAAGCGTGGTGTACAATGAAGCAAAGGGGGGCCTCTTTCTTGCTTCAGGGACTGGAGCCTGATTCCTCCCATCAGCTGAGCTAGCGAGTCAGTGGATTGGATCACGCTTGTCCATGACCTGAAGGCCATGGGTGACCCTCTTCCCTCTGTCTGCCTGAATGAATTGGGCTGGAACAGGGAGTAACTGCAGATCTGTACACAGGGAACAGAACACTCCCCTCTCGCCCCTAGCCGCATAGCCAGGCACTCACTACCTGTGGGTAAAAGAATCCCTTTCTCTACAAAAATGGAATGAGCCCGACCGGCGAGGCTCAGTGGTTGAGCTGACCTATACGCCAGGAGGTCATAGTTCGGTTCCTGGTCAGGGCACATGCCCGGGGTTGCAGGATCAATCCCCAGTGTGGGGCATGCAGGACGCAGCCGATCAATGATTCTCTCTCAGAACTGATGTTTCTATCTCTCTCTTTCTCCCCCTTAATCTCTTTTAAAACACACACACACCACACATATACACACACACACACACCCATACACCACACACATACACACACATACACACACCACACACACAAACACATACATACACCACACACACATACACACACAAACACATACACACACCACACACACATACACACCACACACACACATACCGCGACCCCTTTGGCGGTCGAACGACCCTTTCACAGGCACAAGAACATGGACTGAGCTTTCCAGGGCAGCAGGGCAGTGAGGATGAGGTTGGTGCCCAGCACAGAGCCCAGCCCGTGGGCATTGGGAGGGTCCTCGTGAGGCAGCCGGCTTCTTGGGTCCGAATTTCAAATGACGGCCTGGGAAACAGAAACGTGACAACAATGAGACTTTTGATAACCCTCCTGAAGGGGCAGCCACGGCCCAGAACACACGTGGCCCAGGAACACAGCCTATCTACTCGGCCCCTCCTCCGGTTCCTCACTGGCTGAGCACTATTAGGCCGCCTACGTCTTGCTGTCTCCCACTGGGCCCTTTAAAATATTGGCCTGAGACCTTTCCCGCCGTCTCCACCTCCCTTGGTGTAGGGGACTCTTCCTGGAAACTGTGCTCTCAGCCATGAGCACAGCTCTCATACCGCCCCGCCCCCCTCCTGTTTGCTCTGGGAAATTCAGCACCCGCCTGGCCACGTGCTGTTTCTTTTCTGTGAAGATGAATCAGAGGCTTGTTTCTTACATCCCCCCGACCCCCACACTGGCCCTCCGAGAAGCCCATCAGGCGAGGAGCTGTGCCCCAGACCGAGCTCCTCAACATACAATGCGCCTGGCAGCTCCCCTCGGGCAGCGGTTCTCAACCTGTGGGTCGCGACCCCTTTGGCGGTCGAACGACCCTTTCACAGGGGTGGCCTAAGACCAGCCTGCATAGCAGATATTTACATGACGAGTCATAACAGTAGCAACATGACAGTGATGAAGTAGCAACGAAAATAATTTTATGGTTGGGTCACAACAGGAGCAACTGCATTTAAAGGACCAGAAAGTTGAGAACCACTGTCCTAGGGGCTGTCAAACCAGGGCCAGTGAAGCTAAGACTAGTGTTTACCTTTCACGGACTTGCTGAGAAAGGAAAGGGGGGTGGGCTGGGGAAGAGGCAGGAAGGAGGAAGTGGAGAAACCCTTTACCAGAGGTTGCCAAACCCGGTATCTAAATTATGAATATTCACCCAACGATGCCCGGATGGCAGGAGAAAACAGTGAGTCGGGGACAGATGAGAAAGGTCAGCACAATGGCTGCACCCAGCTGGATGCCTTCCAGGCCACGAGAATGGAAAGGGAAGCGGGCTTCAGGCTAGAAGACGTGCTTAGGAGGTTGACTTGAGACGGGCGGGCGGGTCGTTTATCACCAGCCCGGGAGTGTAAGCACCTCAAAGGGTGTGTGAATCGCCGCCTTCGGAACCCCTCGTTCTATTCGTGTGAAAAAGCAAACAGTCTGCTGGGGGCTCAGGCCTCACTGGGCCCCAACCTGGACTCTCCTCACTCAGTCCCGCCCGTGGAGCCCATGGGGTGAGGGGCTCTCGCCGTCTCCCACCCCACCTGTCCTCCTCACTAGGCAGGGTCGTCCGGCAAAGGCACCGCCCTCAGGACCGGCTCCGACGCCGACCTCGTCGTGTTCGTGGACTCGCTGACCAGCTTCCCCTCCCAGAAAGCCGAGCGCTACAACATCATCAAGGAAATCAAACACCAGCTAGATGCCCACCAGCAGCAAGTGACCGACCAGGACGTGGAAGTGACGTTTGAGATTTCCAAATGGGAGGCTCCCAGGGTGCTGAGCTTCTCTCTGAAATCCAAAACTCTCAACGGGAGCGTTGACTTCGATGTGCTGCCGGCATTTAATGCGCTGGGTGAGGCCCCCCACACCTTCGCTCCCGGAGGAGGAAGGGTCTGGAATGATGGAGGGAGGGGGGTGGAGAGAAAGCCACGAGGCTCAGGAATGGGTCATGGGGCCAGGGCCCCCACAGGTGGCATTCGTAATGGCAGCAACACCCTGGATAAGTAGCCTCCCCACCCCCGCACCCCCAATCCATGGTTTTCCTTTTCCTGGTTTCAGTTCCCCGTGATCAACCACGGTTGGAAAATATTCAGTGGAAAATTCCAGAAGTAAGCAACCCATCGGTTTTAAATCGCACGCCATTCTGAGTAGCACGAGGAAATGGCGCTCCATGCGGCCTAGGATGTGACTCCTCCCTTTGTCCCACGTGTCGCGCTGTGCATGCTCCCCGCCCGGTAGGCCCTTAGTGGACACAGATGATCAGACCACCTGCCGAATCGCAGGGCTGTGTCCCAGTCACCCGTACTCACCGCACAATGTCCCCAGAGCCCAGGGGTAGTGTTGCTGGTAATTCAGACATGCCAGAGAGAAGCATGAAGTGCTTCCTTCACATGAAGAGTTCTGTATGTACAGGGCCTCTCAGAGCGTGTCCCCTGGAGATAAGGGAGAACTCAGTGCACCCTACACCTATACATTTTCTTATTTTTGTGTTTGTGTGTGAGTGTATGTTCAATTTGATTTCAGAGAGGAAGGGAGAGGGAGAGAGAGATTGAAACATCAATGGGAAAATATCCTAGGGTGAGGATTAACAACAACAACAAAAGTCCCTTACAAATTCAATTCATGGGAGACAGGAACGTAACAGGGTATTAAAAGAAACCAAAGAGCCCTGGCCGGCATGGCTCAGTGGTTAGAGCACTGATCTGAGTACCAAAGAGTCATAGGTTCTATTCCCAGTCAAGGGCACATATCTGGGTTGTGGGTTCGCTCCTTGCCCCCCATTGGGGCACGTGCGGAAGGCAACCAGTTGATGTGGCTCTTTCACACCAATGATATTCTCTCTCTGCCTTCCCTTCCATGGAGCCCACCCTGTGTGGCAGAGTGGTTGAGCATGGACACATGAACCAGGTGGTCACGGTTCAGTTCCCACACATGCCCAGTTGTGGGCTTGATTCCTGCCTAAACCGGCAGTCAGACATCCCCTGAGGGGTCCCAAATTGGAGAGGGTGCAGGCTGGGCTGAGGGTAACCCCACCACCACCACCACATGAATTTTGTGCACCGAGCCTCTAGTAATAATAATAATAATACCACTAATAAAGATAGACCATATCATTTGTAATATCATTACTCTAGAGATGATCCCAATATCTTACACGTACACTAATAGAATTCAAACTGATTTCCCAGAACTGAATTATAGTTGTCAGACATGTTTTGAAACTGTTACTTCCTGTGTCTGTAGATTGAGGCATCCTGTCATTCTCTCTCCTCCACATAGAGAAGCTGGGACCTCTCTGGAAAGTCTACACCCAGCTCATCGCTCAGTACGAGCAGCACTCGGACACCCCGGGGGGCGAGTTTTCTGCCTGCTTCACAGAGCTGCAGCGAGACTTCGTCAGCTCCCGGCCCACCAAGCTGAAGGATTTACTTCGCCTGGTGAAACACTGGTACAAGCAGGTCTGCATGGGACGGTGACGCCGGCACCTACCGAGGCTCCGCGCGCCCACACTCTCCAGGCTGGCGTCCAGCCACCTTCACGCTGGGACCTTTGTGGGGGACCCCCCTCACTAACCCCATGGAGGGGGTTTGGGTGTAGAGCACCTTCTGCCATCAAAGCTGCTACCTGGGGTTCCCTTGGCCCTTGTGCTGCCCCCCAGAACATTCTGCAGGAAT